GAGGTTCTCAGTTACAGCGACGCCTCAAATTGTGGCTTCACCGAAAATGCTAGAGGTGAGGAAGATACACACCGTCACCATGATGATGAGTAGAAATTACGTTTCTAGAGGCGATTTCAGGAAAATGACTCAGTGGCCAGAGAAAGTGAGCTGCTTGTTACAGGAGGCAAGAATCTATTTGGATCCTACGGTACTGACGACTTGTACTGTGCCGTATAATATGATGCTGGATGGCAATGGACTGAGCATGAATGGAAGGGTGCGTCACATCAATAGGATAATACTCGAGATCCAAGGGAGCGGTGCTTTGCCGTTGAAATTGCTGCAGGGTGCCGGTATGATGGAGGATCCCCTACCGGCCGGATGTTCCTCCTATGGTATCAAATTTGATCAACCCAGGGGCGTGTAGTGGTTGATTAAGGCCTTTCAGAAGCATGACTATAATCTGGAGTCAGATTTGCTGGAAACTGGACAGTTTATTTTTGGCCCACTTGTAAGACCGGTGAGAGGGACAATCGATTCCAGAGACACTTCAGCGAGTAGCAGGTGCAGGCAGCCGGACTCGACTTCTCTGAAAAAAAAACACGAGGGGCTCTTCGAAGCCACAGAGCTCGCTGGCTGGTGTCTTTTGTCGTAGTGGTTGAGAGAGGCAACGAGAACAAGTCCTCAGGAGAAGCCCTAAAGGGCACGAGAAAGGCCAGATACCCAGAAAGAATGGGACCTAGACCTGACGGAGTTGGCTTGCCGGCTCGAGTTGATGGAAAGTCTAGAGCTCAAGCGGTTGTCTCATGAAGGCCTAATTGGTCATGATTGAGTAGACTGGAAAAATACGCATGAGGTGCATTTTTCTCGAGAGAGGACCTCAAAAACGGCGGACCTGACAGGTGTCCCGAGAAGGGTGATGTTTGGTCCGATCAACTATCGACCATTAAAGGAAGTGGGGAACCTCTTATTTTCTTCATATTCCTCATAACGAAATCGGGCATAGAAAAAACTGAAAACAAGCCAATTTGAGGAAACGTACATTTTTCGTTGTTGGACATGGTTGTGAATTTCTAATTATTTAGTTCAGGTCGTATTTTCGCATATCATTTGGTTGAATTGAAATAAATACTTGACTGTGATGCAATGAAATAGTATCATCAAAAGTCCTTCATTAAACTAGAAAAAACTAAATTATCTTTTAAAGCATTTTGAGGGAAAATCATAAGTGAGTATTTTGAAAGTCATTCATAACACAGAGGGAAGTAGAGTTTGGCACCACTGGCGACACAAGCTGGAAAAAATCTGAAGTTGAGAAATTAAATGAGAAATTAAAACTGTCAATTCAAACACTTTCGCACATACCTTGCATATCATGTTCAACAGTTAAAACTTTAAAAAAATGAAGAAAGATTATAATAAAAAGTCAGTTATAACTTAAAAATCATATTGATTAAATTCTGTACCAATCAGTCATATCCTGATGTTTTATTTTGATTAGGGACGAAATGGTGTTTTTTTGAAAACTTCGAATTGACCATGTCATGCTCATACTCAAGTTTATCGCAGCAACTGGAATAAAAAAGCAAAAATGATCAGAAGAACCGATTAATAATTGCGGGAAAGTTGACGGAAAATTGTTCTTGAGTCAAATTGCTATTCGCGATTCGCCAAATATAAATTAATTCGAGTAGAGTTGTCTTGTTACTGATAGGGTGGTTGGTATTTCTTGAGTGATTTGTCTGGTTTTGGTATTTCTTGAGGGGCAAATGCTAGTTTAGCAGTTTCTTGAGCATTCTACAGTCTTCAATTATGGTCAATTGTTTCTGGATTTCGATGCCGGCGGCGCTGAAAAAGCCCACACTTGATGAGCTATGCAGGCGTTTGAGGAATCTGGACTATTCCCAATTGAGTGAGCGGATGGCGATGTTGAACGCCATCCTGCAGCTGGAGCCGCAGTGAGAAGGTAGGGAGTCCGCAAAGGGAACTGTGCTGATGTTGTGCTACACGTCACTCGTGATCTCGAACCAAGAGAAAGTGAGCTGCTTGTTACAGGAGGCAAGAATCTACTTGGATCCTACGGTACTGACGACTTGTACTGTGCCGTATAACATGATGCTGTATGGCAATGGACTGAGCATGAATGAGAGGGTGCGTCACATCAGTGGGATAAAACTCGAGATCCAAGGGAGCGGTGTTTTGCCGTCGTTGAAATCGCTGCAGGTTGCCAGCATGATGGAGGATCCCCTACCGGCCGGATGTTCCTCCTATAGTATCAATTTTGATCAACCCAGGGGCGTGGAAAGGTTGATTAGGGCCTTTCAGAAGCATGACTACAATCTGAAGTCAGATTTGCTGGAAACTGGACAGTTTATTTTTGGCCCACTTGTAAGACCTCGTCTCTTCCCAGTTAGACCGGTGAGATTGACAATCGATTATAGAGACACTTCAGCGAGTAGCAGGTGCAGGCAGCCGGGCTCGATTTCTCTGAAAAAAGACACGAGGGGCTCTTCGACGCCGCAGAGCTCGGTGGTGTCTTCTGTCGTAGTGGTTGAGAGAGGCAACGAGAACAAGTTCTCAGGAGATGCCCTAAATGGCACGAGCAAGGCCAGATACCCAGAGAAAATAAGGGACCTAGACCTGACGGAGTTGGCTTGCCGGCTCGAGTTGATAGAAAGTCTAGAGCTCAAGCGGTTGTCTCATGAAGGCCTAATTGGTCATGATTGAGTAGACTGGATGAAAGCGCATGAAGCGCATTTTTCTGGAGAGAGGATCTCGAAAACGGCGGACCTTACAGGTGTCCCGAGAAGGTTGATGTTTGGCCCGATAAACTAAAGACCATTAAAGAAGCTGGGGAGTCCAGGTGATATTGTGGAGCCACTAAAACATAACACAGACCTGGCCATAGTAAGGATGACGATAACAGCGCAGTTACCGGAGTGGAGAAACCTCTAGATCCCAAGGCTATGGACTTCCTGACACTGCTTATGCGGGTTCAAAATCGTCGAAAGATGCAAGATACATAGAGGAATTTAGAGCGTCCAGGTTGGCTATTATACTGAATGATAATCATTGCGGGTTCGGACTTCGCGGGAAAGTCAGAGAAAATGTTCTGATTGAAAACTTTTTGTTTATATGTTGCCGGGGGCCCAACTGACCCAGATGTTGACTCTGGTGGTAGCAATTAAGTCGGAGACGCCATGCGAGTCGGAGCTGCTACTGTTTGCGAGGATGAATGACCATCTGCACGCAGCGGGACTTCTCCGGCCGTTGAGAAGCAGGGAACGCGCGCCGAAGAAGATCCGGGAGCCAGTACAAAGGTTTTTCTCCGCGATGAACGAGATACAGGAGTTGGTGGCGGTCAGGCTTGGATAAAAAACAAATGTGGTATTCACGTCGTCGCTAGTGTACGAGAGCATGCCACCTGCCCTTCAACTCGTCTACGCAGTGCTGATCCTAATAGCGGAAGGCAGTGGGTTGCGTATGATGATAGCTGGCACTAATTGGAAATCGGAACTAAAGGGCTGAGACTCCTGAGGTCGTAAGTGGCGGCAAGCAGCGCGGATATACCTCATGCTCTGATATGCTTTTACGAGCTCGCGGATGTCTTGATAGCTATTGATGAAGTATTGTGCTTGAAGATCCCGTATCTGGCGAGGCAACTAAAATTCAATTAGAGATCAACGATGACTACTAGGTGCTCAACCACTTGAACCCGAAGTTGTGTTTCCGGAACATGTAACTCACAATCATGGTATCCAAGCGGCCTGTACATGACAAGAAAAACATGACAAGTGTACGCAGTTAAGAAGCTAGAGTTGATGATGATTCGCCTCACTCAAGAGAGAGGAAGATGGCCATATCTGACGCCAAGACTAGAAATTGTGGTTGAAAAATTGCAGCACCCCTCTTGATAAAGTAAGTGTGAGAACTCATGCAGAACCATCTCGAGCAAGCAGAGATGAAAGCATTGACGGGGGGAACGTTCGTCTCCTTGGCGAATGACCCGACCATCAACAAATTCTGGAGAGATAACGTCAATGGATAGCTTAGAACGAAGAAAGCGTATGAGATCTTCGGATTATTGGTTCCTTGCTGGGAGAAAATGTATATTGATGTGTTGTTCTCGGCAGGGAATAACAACTTTGAAACCTTCATCAGGGACCACTTGACCATGTCGATCATCTTGTTACTGGCATTATACCTTGTTATACCTGAGGCTCCTGACGCATGAGAATCTGGCGGTATTTCTTCGTCTGATGAAATATGAGGACCTGATGGCCATGGCTAAATCCACGCAAGTCTTAAAACCTATTCCTACAAGGAAATTATATCTTCTTGAGAAACAAGCTAGGGAGATCTTAGAATACCGACTTTGACGGAGGCTTTCGACTTGATAAGGAAAATAAAGTGTGTGATTTTTGAGCGAGATAGGCTGCCAGCCTCTCTCCCGGAACTTCCTATTGTGAGGCGAATGAACTTGTGAATGAACAATCCCTTGCTGGTGCCGTCTGTGCAGGCCAGAAATGAGGTAGAGCGACAACAAAGAGTGCTCACGCTTGACTGGGATCCCTTGTTTATCGGGCTTTCTTGTGAGGTTAACATTAACTCCTGGACGGACGCAGCAAGAATCATGAGGGGGCTCGATGCCACCAAGGTGTGATGTGCGTGAGTTTAATAGTGCGCTTGAAAAGGTCGGATTCGAGAATAAGGATCCAGTAAACAACGATGGCCGGGTCATAGTGGAGAAAGGACACTTGGGCTCGGAATGGAGACGCAGCACAAGGAAGCATCTGGTGCCGTACGGGTTAGAAGAGGTGGAGTTGCAGAATGAGGGACACAAGCTTGACTTGGCTGGCACCCTCTACGTACCTCTCACGCAATACAAGAGACCGAATCCTATCACACAATCGCCTCTATCGATTTACCTTACTGGAGATAAGAGAAATCTTCCAGTGGAGATCAGGTTTTAATTTGCCTTGAAGCGAGAGCGCTCGAAATTGACGAAGGAAGAAAAGATGGAGGAAGCTCTAAATGAAGCCGAGGAAGAAATGGACACGGGAACGAACCCAACAAGAGGTTGGGACCTACAGCCCTGGCACCACACGAGAACTATTACAGGACCTGAGTGAGGAAGAATGAGTGAGGAAGGAATCATGATCAACTCTGATGATGAAGAAAATTTGTCAAGGCATATCACGGTATCGAGCGCGTGTGGGCCTAGTAACTCGAGTGGGACGAATTAGACCAGGTACTCGGGGTGGATTCTTGAGTCTTGAGTAGGGAAAAGTAACTGGGGCTTGAGCTAGAACTCAAATAAAATCGGAGTGAACAAAAACAAGATTTTAACCTGTAAACTTTTGTTATCTAATATAATATATCTAATTAAATATCAAAAGTTTGGATGACAAGGTTCTGACTGGGTTGATCAAAAGAAATTTTAAACAGCTTTTGAAACTAAAATCCAAAGTGCAGTTGGATTAAGATTTTTTTGCGGTTCAGCTATAGAGTGACAGTTTTACATGGCTGTGATTTTTGGGAATGTTGGTTCTGTTAGCTGGAAACTTCTGCAACTGACCACTGGACTTGTATCTGGAGATGCACTCAACGTTGTGGTGGCTCACAGACATGACAACAACGCGCGATGAAGACATCGATCTTTAGTCTGGGGAGTCGGTCGGTCATATCCTGAAATGCTATTTTTGAAAAATTCGAATTGACCATGTAACGCTGATGCTCATCGCAATAACTGAATTGAAAAAGCAAAAAAAAGATCAAAAGAACCGATTAATAATTGCGGGAAATATGACGGAAATTTGTTCTCGAGTCAAATTGTTATTCGCATTTTGTTCAATAAAATTCCATTCGAGTAGAGCTGTCTTGTTCGTGGTAGAGAAAGCCGAGAACTACTGCGAGATTGTTTTTTTCTGGAGCCAGGAGAACCTTGATTGAGCAGGTTGTAGAGTGAAGCGACCCACTGGTCCAGACAATTAATTTTCTTGAGTTAAAAGTAATTACTTTCTATAGCTAGCTTAGTTACTTTGTTTACTTGATCCTAGAGTCGAAGTCACTATTTGAATACCTAATGTAATTTCTAAGTAGCATTGTTTCAGTTCAGTTGAGTTATGGCGAGTTTTAGGTTGATCCATCCGATATGGATCAAAGGTCCACTGTCCAATAAAAAATAAGGATATTTACTAGATACAGTTCCCAACGCTGTTTTTAACGGCGTTCGCGTATTTTACGTAATTAGAGACCTAGACCTGGGGACGTTTTTGTTTCTAGAGTGGGGGTAATTTGGTAGTAGCATATAGGCTGACAAACGATCTTTATGTTCCATGTCTTAACCGAACCGAATTGGCTCCGCTTGAATCAGGTACAAAAACACAAGAGGTAGTGTCCCTGACCCTTGAGTCAATGATTGTATATTTCTCTTAACTTTATCTGTGACATAACCGCACAACTGTTGAATTTGAACAGCTGATTTTAGGTAATCAAATACATCATTATTGAACAACAGTTTCCTTAAAATTCTGATCAGTTTTACACAAATTTTTTCCTCGAACAATTTTAAGGTTAAACTAAGTTAAAATTTTCATTCAGCTCTTTTTATTTATAGACTACAACTTTTAGAGTTAACCATTTGCTCCCAAATTCAACGCATATGTTTATTTTGCAGCGTTTCCGCTATATAGATGCAATGCGGAAATCGATCTTTTACCAGACCGACCATTTACAAGTACATTTATAACATGGAACTTTTACAAGACTCGATTATCATGTTTGATGGACACATGTATTGACGCCATTTATTCTGGTTAAAAACAATGTTTTCAATCTCACCAATAGCCAAAGATAACAATCAACGAACTCCAGAGACATTAAACAATGACTCACAAGCTACGTAGGCATCATCATATGCAGAAAAACTGAAAGCTGTGTCAACAACCATAGTAGGCCTGAGACCAAAATAGAAGCAACTGGTTGTGATAAAAACCCCAAATTTTTGACACGGTGGCGGCAATACCAACTGAAACCATGAACATAGAGCAAAAAACCAGCGACTAAGAAGACGACAGAACCGGCAGATGACATAACAACAATAGGCATCAAGGCCATCAAGGAAGGAAAAACAATAGCGATTCTGATGAGAAATGTAGACTCGAAATTTAGAGAAATGCTATTGGAGACCGAGAACAGCTAACGAAGAGGTCGAAAGTATCAAGCAAAAAGGCCTAGAAAACTGATATTTGGTGACAAGCACAGCGGACAAAAAATGGATGAACTACTCCGGAAAGTCGAAGAGTCAGACAAGGAAAACATTAGACTTGACATGCAGTCAGTGCAGATAGGCTATGATGAGATGGTTGGATATTCAATGAATTAGGAAGATTTTGATAAAGAATAAAGAACAATCGGAGAATTTGAAAACAATCCAGTCGATATTCAATGCACTCTTGAGAAGTTCATGTCAACCGAAATAAGCTGAAGCCTATCGGGCAGCTGAGACACTGAAGTACAGGGTCCGATTCAAAGGTCAATGTAGACAACTGCTGGAAAGATCCAACGTGCTTTTGACCACTCCAATGAATCCGACTATTAGAGACGGGTCAACCAACACCAAATTTACACTTGATCACATCAACTCCTGCAACCATGCAACCATGTGGGTACACACTTGGGAAATGATGAGGGCCGTGTTAGCCTTCACAACTAGGATATCTGAATCCAGTGAAATAAGCAAAATTGAGAGATATAAGAAAACTTTCAGGAAGATTTCAAGGATTACACTGACGGATGCATAGATACATGGGTTGAGGTGAAAAAATTATATCAAGAGCAAGACAATCTCATCGACAGACAATCTTGTACTGCACTCCTGAGTGTTCTCGTAGGAATACCCCTGAAATGTATGGTGGCAAAGAAGGGAGAGAAAAGAGACACGGATAAAAAAAATTAGATTAACCAATCGATGGGTTCGAATGAACTAGAGATCCTACGCTGGAAAATGACCCCGAGGAGTCTGCAATATCGGCAAGACATTACAAGTCGTAATTGGAATAAAAAACGATTACTTAACAACGATGTTAGCTACCTATTACAACTTATCAAAAGATGATGCTGCAACTCCAAAAGAAATGAGAAAAAATCAGGAGAGTATATGCTGATGAAACCACAGAAGAACTACAGAAAGGAAGGGAACTACTCAGAAGGACAATTTGGTTGAACGTAGGTCCTGCGCTGCTAACTGTGGCTCAGTGGATCATCATTCGACTGGTTGCACACTGTTTAGACTGGGGATAAAAAAAATAGGATTCTCTCCAAACAAAAAAAAAACCTGGATCAGATGGACAAACTTTTAATTCATAGCGGGCTCTTGAACAAAATAGGTGCAATATTTTTGCAGCCAGAAGGGGCAATTCAAGATGGGCTGCACACTTTTTTGGGATGCAGAAAAAAAATCAAAATCACCCTAAACACAAAGTAGCCTAAGGCGCAGTACAGAATACTGGAAGCAAAGAAGCGGAAATTATGGATCTCTAGATTAGGGCAAATCCAGCAAAGAACGTGACTAAGTCGGTCATAACAATGTCAAGCGGTCAAAAACAAACGAACCATAGGACATGACGCGACAGACTCTAGAGGTGATTCATGAAAAAGTATGAGCTGACGAGAGAAATTCAACAGAATCTGAAACTAGAGATTGAGAAATAAAACGGATAGCCGGATGTAGATCTTGAGCACAAGCGAGCCAGTCAAAATGATGACAATAACTGTAAAAACTGGAAGTTTCAACTCTATGAATTTAGTAACGGGAAGACAATTCATGATAAACAAACTTGGCGACAAAAACATGTCAACCATAACAGTCGCAGGTCCTTACTTGGAGTCTCTCAATCGCACACACCCTTATCAGCAGTGATAGCTCTCCTGACAACCGGATGGCCGGAACGATTAGATCAAAAGTCCCTCAGTGGAAGCACATGGATCATATCAAGTGATGCTGAACATAGATGGCTATAACATTTATACGAAACCGATATTAACTTGCTCTGATCACTTAATTATCGCTGGTTAAATATTCATCCCGCATAAGAAGCTCAAGTTCCGAGCAATAGGAAACAGTGCAATGTTGAAAGAGCATGCCATCCGTATGGGCACAGGAGCAGCTGTGACAGCCCACATCTGCCCCTGTGCCCATATAGAAATGGTACGACAAAATACCTCAAAGCCCTTCTAGGTACAGGGGCCGTCTTGAGCGTGATGCCTTTAAAAAAAAATTTCTGGATGGTGTTTGGCGGAGGAGACTTGATTGATTTTTTGGTAAGATTAGCAGCGGCAAAAAAGGGCTCCCTACGTGTCCTGGGCATACCTAGCACTGAATATGAGAGTCAGCAACCTATGGATGAGCTTCTTGGTCGTAGAGAATCTAGATGATGAGGTCGATCAATTCATATTAGGACGAGACGTCTTCAGGCACTTCAATTTTACTAAGAACTTCAAAAGTTCTATGTTCAGAAATCGTAATCCAGAGAAAAAGTACATTGTTAAACCGGTCAGTTTAATAATGAGATGGAAAGGAAAAATTTCCTCTTGTTAACAGAAGTGTAAACTTAAGACTGTAATAAGACCGATAGACTATGGCGGTTAAATCCTGAGCGATACCAAGATGAAGTACGAGGCACCAAAAGTGGAGATGTTTGAAGTGTTTTCAATCGTTGGAAAATAGAGAGCATTTGTTAAGAGCGCGCCGTTTAAACTTCGGGTAAAAAACAGTGCATTATCATGGTAAAGACGTATTTTACGGACCAGAGCTAATTCGACAGATGGATAGTACGCTTGGTCGGATGTAATATGATAATACAATATCGAACAAGAGACAAGCATCAAAATGCGGATAGCCTAAGCAAGAAAACGGATTTTTACGACGTCAAGAAAAAAAAAGGAGGCAGACAGACCTAAAATAAAATATGGATTCTCCATCATTGATCAGAAAACAAACGTCAGTTTAATACTACTCAGATGGTTAGACAAATAAAGCCACCGGCGCTACCAACACAAGAAACGGTAACCAAGAT